CTCACCTGGCTATGACCTTCTTTCAGGGAGTTGTAGAGAGTGATGAAGTCTCCCCTGAGCCTTCTCTTCTCCAGGCTAAACCCTCAGTCTCCCTCAGTCCCTCCTCATAGGACCTGTGCTCGAGTCCCTTCACCAGCCTTGTTGCTCTTCTCTGGACCTGCTCCAGCACCTCAATATCCTTCCTGAACTGAGGGGCCCAGAGCTGAACACAGTACTCCAGGTGTGGCCTCACCAGCGCTGAGTACAGGGGAAGAATCACTTCCCTGGTCCTGCTGGTCACACTGTTCCTGATCCAGGCCAGGATGCCATTGGCCTTCTTGGCCACCTGGGCACGCTGCTGGCTCATGTTCCGCTTCCTGTCAATCCAAACTCCCAGATCCCTTTCTGCCTGGCTGCTCTCCAGCCACTCTGTCCCCAGCCTGTAGCGCTGCAGGGGGTTGTTGTGGCCAAAGTGCAGGACCTGGCACTTGGCCTTGTTGAACTTCATCCCACTGGAATCAGCCCAACTCTCCAGTCTGTCCAGGTCCCCCTGAAGAGCCCTCCTGCCTTCCAGCTGTTCGACACTCCCCCTTGACTTAGTGTTATCTGCAAATTTACTGACTGTGGACTCGATCCTGTCATCTAAATCATCAGTAAAGATATTAAACAGAACTGGGCCCAACATTGATCCCTGGGGGACACCACTAATGACTGGTCGCCAACTGGATGCAGCTCCATTCACCACCACTCTCTGGGCCTGGCCCTCCAGCCAGTTCCTGACCCAGCACAGAGTGTCCCTGTCCAAGCTGTGGGCTGCCAGCTTTTTCAGGAATATGCTATGGGAGATGGTGTCAAAAGCTTTGCTGAAGTCCAGGTAGACACATCCACAGCCTTCCCCTCATCCACCAGGTGGGTCACCTGATCATAAAAGGAGATCAGGTTGGTCAGACAGGACCTGCCCTTCCTAAACCCATGCTGGTTGGGTCTGATCCCTTGTCCATCCTGTAGGTGCTGTGTGATTGCACTTAGGATGATCTGCTCCATAACCTTGCCAGGCACTGAGGTCAGGCTGATGGGCCTGTAGTTCCCCAGGTCCTCCTTCCAGCCCTTTTTGTGGATGGGCGTGACATTCACCAACTTCCAGTCAGGGCGTGACATTCACCAACTTCCAGTCATCTGGGACCTCCTCAGTGAGCCAGGACTGTTGGTAAATGATGGAGAGAGGCTTGGCGAGCTCTTCCGCCAGCTCCCTCATCACCCTTGGGTGGATCCCATCTGGTTCCATAGATTTGTGGGGATCCAAGTGGCTCAGCAGGTCGCTAATGGTTTCCTCCTGGATTACAGGGGGGCTATTCAGATTCTTATCTCTTTCTACAAGCTTCAGAAGCCAGCTGTCCTCAGGACAACCTGTCTTACTGTTGAAAACTGAGGCAAAGAAGGTGTTAAATACCTCAGCCTTTTCCTCATCTTTGATAATTATATTTCTGTCCATGTCCAATAAAGAATGGAGGTTTTCCTTGCCCCTCCTTTTGCTATTGATGTATCTGTAGAAGGACTTTTTGTTATCCTTCACAGAGGTGGAGAGATTCAGTTCAAGTTGTGCCTTTGCCTCTCTAATTTTCTTTCTACATGGCATAACTATAACCCTAAACTCTTCCTGAGTAGCCAGCCCTTTTTTCAATAATCAGTAGGCTCTCTTTTTTACCCTAACTTCCTTCAAAATCTCCCTGTTCAGCCAGACCGGTCATCTTCCCTGCCGGCTTGCCTTTCAGCAGACTGGGACAGCCTGCTCCTGTGCTTTCAAGACTTCCTTCTTGAAGCATGTCCATCCCTCCTGGACCCCTTTGTTTTCGAGGGCTGTTTCCCAGGGTACACTCGGAACTAGTCTTGTGATTAGAACAAAATCTGCCCTCTGGAAGTCCAGCGTAGAGTTTTTATTGATGGCCCTCCTTGCATCCCTGAGTGTTGAAAACGCTATTATTTCATGGTCACTGTGCCCCAGATGGCCTCCAACCACCACATCTCCCACCAGCCCCTCTCTGTTTGTGAACAGGAGGTCTAGCAGGGCCCCATCCCTGGTAGGCTCATTTACCAGCTGGCGTAGGAAATTATCCTCTATACGCTCTAGGAATGTCCTAGACTGCCTCTTCTCCGCTGTGTGGAGTTCCCAGCAGACATCCGGCGGGTTAAAGTCACCCACGAGAACAGGGGCTGGCGATTTTGAGACATCCACCAGCTGCTTGTAGAATAATTCATCACCCTCATCATCCTGGTTGGGTGGTCTGTAACAGACTCCCACCAGGATATCAGCCTTGTTGGCCTTCCCCCTGATTTTGACCCACAGGCACTCAACCTTATTGTTACTGACTTCAAGTTCTACAGAGTCAAGAGACTCTCTAACATACAGAGCCACCCCTCCATCTCTCCTACCTTGCCTGTCCCTTCTGAAGAGCCTGTAGCCACCCGTGGCAGCACTCCAGTCACGCGAGTCATCCCACCACGTTTCCTTGATGGCGACTACATCACAGCTTTCCTGCTGCACGATGGCTTCCAGCTCCTCTTGTTTGGTACCCATGCTGTGTGCATTGGCGTATATCACTTCAGCTGGGCTGCTGATTTCACTCTTAACTCGGGCTTTCCATCCTTAGGCTCCTCTCTGGAGAGCCCGGTTTCAATCCCTTCGCCCTTCAAACCTAGTTTGCCAGACTGAGTCTGTTCTAAAGCCAAGCCTTCATCAGATGTTTGCTTCTACAGAACCATTTCTACTGTATCCACTTGTAAAAGTGGATATAGCCACAGTGTCAGTTATGTTCTTAAATTCTGAGTGTTTTCCATGTCAAACTAACACCAAAACCCAACTGATCTTCACAGTGGCCCAATGTTCTTTAAGGGGAACCAAAACCAAAACTCGTCTTACATGAGGTTTGCAGTGGTAGGAAGAAGGGAAAGGAAGACAAAAAGGGAATGAGGGGTGCTACTGCCTGCTATTTTCTCAGTTATTTAGAGTGGAAACCTGAGAGCCTGGAAATAAAACACCTTCAAAGCCATCAAGGGTCAACTATTGGTTTCCTGGGGACTGGGCACACTATTCATTTTTCATTTGGCATTGGAGTTTGTTGGAACAAGTCATTAACTATTGTCATAAACAATAGGCATTCAGCCAGCAGGGGCAAGGACACACTTCAAAATCTGCACTTGTAATTTACTGGGGTGTCTGGGAATGCAGTAGTTTGATGCAGTAAATTAAGCAGGAGTATCAGGGTATATTTTTATTTTTCCCAGTTAAAACTCTATGTATTCAGGTTGCCTATCAAAAAAAACCCAACCAACTTACAATGTGTTTTCACAGCCCTGGATGCAACATCTGAGCTACAAAACCTGGCTGAACAAGTTCAGTCAGTATGAAACAGCTCTATGCAGACCACCAGAAGGTATGCTTTGCCTCTTTCTACTGAGGCAATACATTCATAAGTTGCCTGCACTACTGCAGAATAGGCTTACAGTATTTCTTAGTGTCCAATACTGGGGGCTCCTGGGTCTTCTCATCTGTTCCAGTAAAACACTCCATTTCAAGTTTAACTGTAAACACAAGTTATTCTGTTAAGGCCAACAAACCAGACTGCTTTCAAGGCATCTGTTTTAAATCCAGTCTCTGCTTTTTTCCTAAAAGATTTAAATTTCAGAAGCCTACTTTTATTTTCAAAGCAGAGTATTTTTTAAGGTTACTCACGGGAACAAGTACTGCAGCCTGGCTTACTGTAACTTCCACTCCTTTCCCTCCATGTCCTAAATAACCAACCTTGTGTACCCCTTCTTCCAATCTTTCCAATATCCTGAACTTATTTTCACGTACCTAACACCTTGCCACCAGTGTTCTTCTGTATGTTCAGACCTCCTACCTAGTACCTTCTCAGACATCCCCTACATCACTAACATTTGTGTTCCCAATATCTTCAGCACATGATGTCAAGCCATCTGGTTTTACCCACTAAAGCACTTCAGTAACACCATGGCTCCCTAAGATGTCCCCTATGACTGCTCCAAAAGCCCATCTCACAGCATCATATGCTTTATCTGGTTCACTATCTGAGCAGTGCTGTTGGAACTACAACTGCTAGGTATACCTTCCAAATAGATAAGGAAAGTGTTTTACCAACATTTCCCTTTGTGGGGGCACCAATTGGAGTCAATCTTCTTTACCAAGTCACTAATTTTCAAGAAACACTTTAGAACTGCAGATTATTACGACCCCCTAATACATAGAGGAATGTGTCTGAAACTGATTCATCATGCTCAAAATTTACCAGAGGGCAAAGAGTTAACACAGACTCCAGTCTCAGCAGCAGGACTATTTCCATAGGAACCAAACCAGGTTAAAAAAAAAAGCTAATTTTATACTGAAGTGGAACAATCAGGTAAAAGTGAATTGAAACCATTTACTACTCTTATGGGATTGGATTTACTAGATGGAGTTGCCAAATATATGGTAATGTGCATGGCTCAACTGAGCTTCCAATACACAATAAAAGGCAAAAAAGCGCAAAACTTTCTGGGACAACTCCAGACTGCCTCAGTCTATAATTATTGTTCATATCTAAATATCCTGTGGCTATAGAGAAAAAGTCATTCTTGCAAGGTTTTTAAATGATTCATATTCTTGACTTGTAATCTATCACAGATTACTAAAGGATGCTCAAGAGGAAACCCTGAAAATATTTTATGCCTTTATATGGGAGGTATTTTCCCAACATCCAAATGGTTTTAAAATGAATTTATCTTTAAATGTCAAGAAACCATCAACAGAAAGCCTTTTTGTATCTTTGCTGAAGAAAAAGTGAGCGCAAGGACTGCAACCAGCAATTCAGGAGCAGAAAAAATTTTTGTAATATATAAACCCACTTAAAGACTACACTTAAGGGAGCTGTATCAGCTCATCATCACCATTAACCCATAGTACCTTAATGCCTACAGCTATCAAAAGCAGCAAGAAACCCAAAGGGGAAGGGGTAAGGGGGACTCACCTATGAGATACATGCCAATCCAGTCCCCTGCATCCACTTCCTCTTTTATATCCCAGTATATCACTAGGTCCTGCGAATGCCCAATGGAGTAGTAGGAGCTGCTGACCATCAGGGTGGACCGGCTGTCTGAAGTGACAAGGTCTGTGTCACTGGTAGACCTAGGAATGGTGACTGTCTCATGGGAATTGTTCCTGATGTCCATGTTATGGAACTGGTCAGGGTTATAGCTGTATCTGAGAGGTTCTTTGCACCGGCGTCGATTTTGTGAGCTTCTAGATGGAGACGCCATGGCTGCCAGGCCCAGGAACCTGTTTTGGTACAGATTCTGCAAAGAAAAAAAGAAAGGACAGTATTTACAGTATTATTCATTTTTCAGTGACATGAAAGCTCAGGAAAAGGAAAAGTAGTAAGTTATAATGAGAAAGTAGCAGATCTTTTTCCGTTTGTCATTGCAAAAAGACATGAGAAGATGTAGCAGGAAACACAGTGCTAACTCAGCTCCTACTCTGTAATTCTTACCATGAAAACAAGTGTAAGAGCAAGCCTTGCACCACCAGGCTCAGCCACAGCTGGCAGTGTGCGGAGATTAACAGGAGCTGACTTCTTCCATGCTAATGCACATATACAAACACAAACATCGGGAATATCAAACTGCTAGAGAGCCATCCTCTTTTAACATCAGGAGATAGTCTTCTCACTTTTGACACCTGGAGTTAAGTCCTATCCCCAGTAACTCTTGTTACATTTACAAAGGAATCTTAAGGTGCAGTCACTCTAGAGACTATATTTCATCTAGAGAGACTGGCTAGCAGTGAGTAAGAGCTCTTCCTCCCTGCTGGATATCTGAAGAGTGAATGCCGTGAAAAAGGAGTTACCCTTGTTACCAAAAGAGAGATGTCTTCAACTGATGTATAAATACAAACTAAGTGTTGCAATGTGTCTCTGTACAGCTGATGGATTCCAATGCCATTGCTCTACTCTGTTTTCTGCAGTAGACTTTGAGATGCTAAGCACACCCACTCTGGTAGGAATTTGGGAATGCACCAGACAATTAATGGCAATCGAGAAGGTTACTGCAGAGTAGTCATCATCCTAGCAGTTGAAAAATATTTAAATTTCAATCTACCCTTCTCTTCCTCAAGGCAAGCTGAGTGACTTGTACAAAATGTGTCATGGTGCAGAAGTTAAAAGCTTTTGTGAGCTGGCAGATGGAGAATGCTTAAGTTATGACTGGGTTGAATTCTGATGTGAAGACATTCCCTGATACTGATCAAAATACTGGTTATTCCTTACTTTAGTACTGTTTGTTTTTTTTCATTTTCCTTCCCAGCTTTCCCTCTTCTCTCTCTACAGCTCTGCTATTTCAATCACTCAGCTTTTCATTATTCATTAGCCTTCCATTATCCGTCTGTTGCCAACCATGCTGTCAAGTCTGTTAGATACAAAACCAGACAGCTTTCCAGTATGCTATGAAATGCTTTTCACATGATCAGAAGTCAAATCATCCTTTCGAACTCAAACAAATTAAGCGGAAGAAAAATCACAGCTCCTTTGTCCAGTCAAGCAGCAATTTAACACTGGCTTTATTAAGGTTATGGTAGCCCAGAAGAACAGTAAGTCCTGAAAAAAATAAAATATTTTCTTTATTAATACCATTGCAGGGGGAATAATTAAGAGACCTATTATTGTGTCTTAAGATTCTGTTGCACAAAAACTGTACAGAGAACAAAAAATTCAGCTGGCATATTTGCACCCCTAGAATATGCCGTCACTTGGCAAACACTGCCCAACAATGCTGACAATCCGCTGACCCAAATCCTCACTTACTGCATTAAACAGGGTTTATAAGCAAAAATAGCTGCAGTGGGAATGCCACACCTTGTAGTAAGTACCGCAAGATTGAAGCTAATAATGCAAAAGGCTACACCAGAGGTAGAGGAATAGAAGGAGGAAGGAGGCATGTGGGGGAACGAAGTATGTGGTGTTGCCTTTGCTGTGCATCTCATCATATCTTTGCTGCCTCTTTCTAATATTTATTCACTGTTTGAAAAGAGAGTTCACGTCATAGTATAAAGAACCAATACCCCATGTAAACAGAAAAAGCATCTTTTTTTATCAAGAAACATGCTGTGAACATCTTCTAATCTGGGAAGCACTTTTGGACATGCACAACTATCGTGCTCTAGTCAGTAATTTAAAATTGCTGGTAGTTTCTGTCACTTAGCAAAGAAGGCATCTGCTGTCCCAACAGTACCTGACACAACTAGAATTGTTTTTATAATGGTGAGATATCAACGCAACAAACCTGAAGCTCACTCTTCTGGATTAGTCTATATCATTAAGATGGGTTCCTCCGCTCACAGCATTACCCAAAAGCTACCTCAGTTCAAAGGCAGACATTTTATTTCTGGTGACAAATTACTCCAGGGAATAGTGGTTCTGCAGATACTTTCATTTTTGAATGTTAATGGATGTAGAGTATTAATTAACTGCATACCTTAAAATTAAATTAGACTTAAACATTTTTTTTTCAGCTTCGGTATGACTTTAAGCAGTTTTAATGGAAATGGTAAATTTATCGTTATGTTTTAATTCTGTAAGTTCCTATTTTGCTGTATATTGATGCCAGTGGAACAAATGGTATAATTTTAAAGCAACCCAGAAGGCCAAATTCTCCACAAATTGCAGTCTCTCGTATTTCCAGCATTGATTCTACACAAACACATTAATCTGAAAAAAAAAAAAAAGAAAATCCCCAAGCTAAAAAAATCCCAAACAAATGAAATAATAGTCACACATAATCATCTGGATTAAATAATGGCATCAAAATACAAGCATGACTGTAAGAATAAATAGAAAAGAGGTTAGGTAAACTAGTTATTTTATTACCAGCTTTGCATGCTTTCCATGCAACTGTCTAAAGCCCTCAAGCCCTGCTGATAGTCCCAGCTATGGTCAGACAGCTTAAAATAACTGCAAAGACATCCTATTAATATCTTCTGAAAGCAATCTGATCCATCATATATACCTAACATATAAAAATAAATATTTTAAGGGTTTGAGATTAATATTTATTTTCTCTCCCTTTGCAGAGGTATGCACACTATACACACTACTAAACTTTCATTTCTAATACAGAGTATAAAATACAAAGCAAAAACAATGAACAGCCAAATGCTGGTTGTCAACAGAAACAAACACCTCTTCATTCCTGCCTCAAAACAGTCATTCTATAGCTGCTTCTACAGTCAGTCTTTCCAGGGGTGTTTCCACCCATTGATTCCCTCTACCAAGTGACACCCAGGCTTCACTTTCCCACTCACTCCCCTCACTACTGATTTTTACAGAGCTCTAGAAAGCTTTGTTTCTAGAGGTCTACCAAGCCCATGAAAGTTCTGCTCAAAATTAGATTTTTTTGAGGATTATCTGTAGGCAGAACTTGCCTCTTCTTTATGTCACTTAGTCCATCTAATGATAGCAAACAACAGGAAGTTAATTTAGGATTATTTTTCTCCCATAAAAATGCAATTGCAATCCCTAATAGGGAAAGTAGGAAGGAGCAGACAAAAGAAAATGACAGATGACATCTGATTGTAAAGAAAACTGACTTTGAAAATCTACACATAGAAAAACTGTAACCAGTAAATACCAAGAAAAAATATTTCACAGAGTTTCTCTCCCTTTCTCACACCTCTCTCCTTTTGCGATTACTCTATGGCATTCGGAAAGCAGAGAGTTCTTGTCACTGCCTTTTCCTTTAAAAAACTCTACCACCAAAGGTAGTTGTTCCCTTCTTTGAGACAAGAAGAATCCTCAGGCAGGAAGGCTTCACACCATTATAGCCAGCTGAATTTTACCAAAGGATTCAGAGCTGCCACCCATTAACTTCCACTGGAAATCTGTAGGGTTTAATGTTAGGGGTTTTATTTTTCTTTTCATTCGGGATTATTTTAAATCATGCCAGAATGGTGCATGATGCTTTAGCAATACAGAGATAGATCTCACCTAAACATCTGCAAGGATCCATCTCTGTTCTCTATTCAGACAATTAAGAGCTGTCTTTTAGATACTTGGGCTGACACCAGTTGCCTCCTTTGCTGCTTAGAACCTGAGATTAGCTCAGTTAAATTACAGCACAGTGCTAAAAATGCCAAGGCTGTGGGTTGGATCCCCATAGGCGACATTCACTTATGAGCTGGACTCTGTAACCCTTGTGGGTCACTTCCAACTCAGAATATTCTGTGAAAGATGTATTTGTGCAGGTCAGGATGGCAGTACGATACTACAAAGATACCACATGATTGAAATACAACCCGTAACTGGAGCTCTGGCAGACGAAGAAGTTAAAGGGAACGAGGTGATAACATAAGCCACCACAACAGTGGGCCCAAAGTAGTCATTCAGATGTCTGCAAGCATCATCACAACCTGAATTTCACGGGCAAGTACCAAGAAAGAAAATGAGATAGCTTTCTATGATGGGAAGCTTGGAACACAGCACATTTACATACCTGAAAATATATTAGGCCAGCAGTCAAGTCTGGTATCATAGGCAAATTAGAGGTGGAGTCAGTCTTTTGGTTGCTTCACTGGAGGTGAAGGCTCTCCTGATAAGCTTTTAGCCTTCACTTGAAAGGCTTATATGTTTTGTAAAGACAAGAGGGAGCCAAGACAGGTTTAAAAATACAAAATTAGGGCAGCATGGTGAAAGTGATAAATTATCACAGGAAAAAAATCTTCGGAGCAGCTTTAAGATGGTAAGATCATGTGTATCAAAAAGGATATTTTACTAACAGGAATAAGATGGCATCAGTCTGTATGAAAGATTTTAAAAACTTAGTCACAGCCTATGTATGAATACCCAGAGCAAGAAAGACAAGCAGGAAAACAACACTGCCTACAGTCATTGGAGGTGATATGACGGGAATCTGCAAGCCAGAGCTTTGAGGCAGACCTTTAACTTGAAGGTGAGGCTGTCGAAAGGGCTTTCAGTATGTAAAACTGTTTTATTAGAGCTTAAATTAGAATTGGCTAAGTTCTGAAGGACAGGAAACTCATCTCTGTTGGATGGAAGAGCAATAAAGAACTGTGTGAAAGTGAAAAGATATGACTGAATCTTGCAGCTGCTACCTTACAGGGCAGGATTTTGTCCTCCAGCCTTGCTCTCAGCCTAGCAATGTGAACTCCTTGGAGTTAACAATCTTGCTTTTTATAGCCCTAAAGACTTATTGCAGGAACTGCTTCTTGTTCTTCCCAGCAACCTTCTCAACTCCACTTCCCCTACAGGCCTGCTGTGGAAGCATCTTTTCCCCATCTGCTCTCCCCA